GTACATTATTGTAGCCAGCTCCTGTTATTATTTTGGATGTGCGTAAAACCGCCTCAATGTAGGCTACATGATAATATGGAATAAGAGATGAGATGATGCCGGTGAGGTGACCCTTGTATTTAGAATAATTGAAGTTATTTTCCTGTAACAATTACTTGTTTTCTGTTTCATTTTATTTAAAAAACAAGCCCTCAATAGGCTATTCTTACCACAATATTACGAAAGCTGGTTCAACAGCAATGCGTCGAGTATCTTTCTTATCCTGGCCATATATTAGCCAAGTAGCCTATCCATAAAAGGTTTTGGTCTACTCGTGAGGCTTTTGCCATCATGCTTTTGCGTTATTCACAATTCACATAGGCCTACCAGCAGTGCATACTCATTTCGGCTTGTTTCCATCCCCATTTCCAAAAAGCGCCTCTTGTCCGCTTACCAAAGGCGCGCTCCTCCAAACATATTCAAATTATTCAGTCCTATAATGCCATATCAATGGTATGCCTAGGCTATATCTTGCTTATTGAGAACGGTCATTACACACATACAATACAATTCACGGGAGCCTAGTATTTTTTATTTCAGGAGAAGTACGATGCATAAAGTCATGTATAGTCCTATACTCATTCAAGCCAATTACAACAATGTTAACTGTCAACACTCCAAACATATTGAACAAACACTCTATGTTTATTTTTTTTACTGTTGTTATTACTCTGCTGTAGCCTATGCTATTTCATAAACTGTAGTATCAATCCACAATGGACTAGGAGGATAATATTCCGTGCCCCCAGCCGAATTGGAGTTGTTGACAATGCAAAGCCTGTTAATAACTTACAGAACTTGAGACAACGGCTTGCAGTATTAAGCCATGAAACGTGTTGAATGGCCAGTGAGTGACCAAGCCCTCGTCACACCTAACATTGATTTATTCATCAAAACCCAGCCCTTCCGGCCACCACCAACTATTGTGCTCATAATTCCCGCTGTGAAAATAGCAAAAATATTTCTGACACACCCATGGACCTATAGCGCTACCGCCAGCGCTAAGTTTTACCATTGTGTTAAGTTTGTTAAAATAGAGCCCAGAGTCTGTGACTGGTACAATGTGTCAATTTGAAAACACGTGAAACACAGCGATACACACACACACACACACACAGAAACACACGCACACGCATGCATGCACGCACACACACCCACATGCACACAAATCTGTCAGACCTGCCTATTCCCCTCTACACTCATCATTAAAGTGATGCTACAAAGGTTTTGCAGACTTTTAAGCCAGTAATTTTGAATGTAGTGCTCAAGGGCCGAAAAAGGGTCCCCGAAAATAGTATTTGCCCCCTTTCTGATTTTCTCTGTATTTGCATATTTTTGACACTGGATCTTATCAGATGTTCAAACAAAACCTAATATTAGATAAAGGGAACCTGAGTGAACAAATAACACAACATTTGTACACTTCTTCTTGTAGTTGTTGATCAGTCTCTCACATCGCTGTGGAGGAATTTTGGCCCACTCTTCCATGCAGAACTACTTTAACTCAGCAACATTTGTGGGTTTTCGAGCATGAACTGCTATTTACTAGCTAGCACTCTGTTACACATCAGGCGGGAGGCGGGGGCGATACCGGTAGTTAGCTAGCTAGGTGTCCTTCGCCCTGGAAAACTCTGACAATACTTTTATTTCCCTTTTGACCCACATTTTAATCACATAGACAATCAGGGGAAATCCAAAATATCAGAAGTGTCACACAAGCAGAAAAGATGACGTGCTTGAGGGGGGGACGTTCATGCAGGAACCAATGGGAAACTCGAGGGACGGCATTCCTGCAGATGTGGGCTGCAATCACACAATTGCATGCCTGCAGTGTTGTGGATTATCAATTGTGACAACTTGTGTGCTATCAAGCCAAAGGAGAAGACATGGAATTATTGATTTTGATGGTTGGCATTACAGAAAGGTTGCCCCTCATAAGTGGATGATTGTATAGCCTACATTTCACGAGTACAAAAAAAGTTGTAGTTTGGCCAGGTTATGGGTGGACTTTCGTAATCTTTCCTGCAAATGTACTCCAAAATTCAGCCATAAATACATCAGCGTACTCCATTTAGGAAATGTTTCAAATAGGGTTGACAATTATCTTCTAACTTTAGATTTGTGTTCCTCCATCTAGTATGATATGTTACCAGTGGCGATTTTAGCATGTAAATAATTGTGGGATGCTTGCCAGCAAAGCCACTACACAACACAACACAACACACCACTAAACAATACATTAATTGCACTATAACGGTGACAAATGGTGGCCACAAACGGTTAGGGTCTACATAAAGCTGTCTCAACAGCAGAGTCCCAACAGCAGTCCCAACACCTTACAACTACTACACCTGGTTATCAGTGGAGCCTTGTCTGGCAGCGAAACAGTTCATTCAGCCTCATTTACTGCCTTTTTAAAAAACATCGCTGATATGGCTGATTTGCTTAAACAAATGTGGTTTCTACTGACAATTGAGATGTACAAACTATGGCATAAGGGGACGACAAGCGGATTAGAGGCAATTTTGATTAAGACATTAATGAGCGAGCTAGGATGGACGTAGTCAATATAACTATTTGTTCAGCACTTTTGAAATGTACAGCGACAGAATTCAGAACATGGGCCATTCTTACAGTGTTATCCCTGTACACCAAGTCAGAACCGTAGGATAAATAAAGGGGGTATATAAGCAGACAATGAAAGCTCTTACAATATTCAATGATTACATTTCTCTAAAATAGGTTATAGGCTACATGTGCACCACCAAGTCAGAACAGTAGACGAAGGATTTGCCAGTAGATTGTCGACTTGATTCATGATGATGACTGCTAGCTAAGATTTTGAAAGTATGATGTTGACATGATCAATCCAATCAAAGCTACTGTAGATATAACGTGATTTGATGTCATTTTCTCTGTGGCCAATGACCTTGAGCCTTCTTGGATGGGCACTTCTAATGTAACTCTATGGCAGCACCCAAGGGGCTTACATTTTTTAGCTCTACCCTTAGACTTGGCAGTGACGTAGTCTCCCCATGAGTGACAGAACACTGAGCCAATCATGGCGCAACTAGAGAACATTACCAACCCCTACACTCCGTATTTTCCGCTGGCTGCCTCACCACCACAGAAAGCACTGAGCTAGGCTGAAACTCCTGCATTTTGGAGCTGCCTTCCTCAAGAAAGCAAAAAAGAGACCATGTTTGTATGCGGCTTTATTAACTCAATGATTATTTAAAAAAATTGTACATTCTTTGCAAACTGATATGTGACACGTGTTAATGCCAAAATAACATTCAAAACAGGCAAGCCCCCCCCCAACCCCCCCCACCAATTATTTGTATTTATTATTATTTTTTAGCTAAACATGTGTGGTTCAAAACAGGTGGGTCTCTGCCCCACCTGCCCTGAATGACGGGTCACCACTGTATGTTACGTTTCGTATGATATAAATGAATTTGTGAATGTCTATCATCCATTTTGTATGATATGTTACTTCCTCCAATTCGCATGATATGTTAACGAATTCCAATACGTACAGTATGTTACTAATTTGTTAGTGCACGTTCACTATGAAAGGTACAATTGTGCAACTAACATGTACTATACATTTTATGCATTGAATGTAAAGATTGCGTGGCTTACTCCGACAGGAGAAGATTACAGTTGGTGTATTATGCATGTGTGAGCCATACATTGACACGTCAAGTCCAAAACGGAAGGTTGAAAAAATACCAGCAAAGTTTTCAAGATCCCGCTCATCTCTTTAACTGAAATAATTTGAGTTGGTGTGTGGCAGTGTGATAAGGGTAGACCTACTATGCAAACTTACTACATCCATAATAGATTCATACATTCTGGTGAATTACCCAGGCGTCGTGGTGTGTGTAGGGGAGGGGAGGGGAGGGGGGTGTCCTCACACATGCACACTCACACCCCTGGTATATCAGGCTGTAAGGGATGAAGTGGGTTTAGTTTGGTGTAGTGGTAATATACTAGTGCAAGGAAGTTATTTTCCCCTATATGCTTGAGTTAGAAGTTGTTTGATGTTTTATTTGTAATTCATGTATTTTTAAACCTTGTAATTTTCTTTTAAATTGAGAGAAATCTCAAAATGGGGGATTGTGGTGAAGAAATTACAAGATTATGTTTAATACTGTTTATGCAATAGAATAGGGTTCTTAGAACTCTCTCATCTGTGTCTGTGTGAACTGAGAGGAGCCTCTGAAGCTGGAGCTGACAATTGATTCATGAATGGTTTGGTGATAAAACCTACAGCATGCATTCCATAGAATGAGTTGGTGTTTGTGTAATGTAAGGTACCAGGGCAAGATGGCTCGGGTATGAATAATGAGAGGAACCTTGTCTTCGGGGCCAAACTCTGGGTTCCATACAATAAGAACAGTCTTCATAGCAAATACTATCTGGCTGGGGGATACTAATTTATCATATATCAAGTCTCACCTTTTGACTCATTCCAAACATCTGCTGTTTGTCATGTAGACTGAGAGGGTGTATCTTTGCTATAAAATATATTTGTATTGTCTGTATGTCAGAGCTCTCGGCCCAACACCCAAGAGTGTTGGGTCGACCAGCTTCACTTGCTACTCTATTAATCTGATTGGTGATTGACCTTGTCCTCATTATTGATTAGAATTTCCACGACAATTCCCAGAGAAACCTGTTGGTATGGATGTCAAAGCACAGCTAACAGAGCTAACAGTGCCACAGATAGTACAGACACCATGAATTGACAGAGAAACACAGGGAAGTACCTCAGCTCTGGAAGAGCATGGGAGAATAGAACTCCAATAGAGAAAAGCAAAATACTGCTGCTTCAAACAATTAATGAATCAAGATGATCATGTTTATTCGTTATGACCATTGTTACAGTATATGTTGCTTCTCTTTGTTTTTTTTCTACCTTTCTTTCCTCCCCCCTCTCCCTCCCTCCCTCCCAGACACTGCGAGCGGCAGGGAAAACCTACATGATCTTCTTTGTGTTGGTGATTTTCGTTGGATCCTTCTACCTGGTTAATCTGATTCTGGCTGTGGTGGCCATGGCCTATGAGGAGCAGAACCAGGCGACGATAGAGGAGGCAGAGCAGAAAGAGGCAGAGTTCAAAGCCATGTTGGAGCAGATCAAGAACCAGCAGGAGGATGCACAGGTTAGTCCCTCCCTGGTGTTAGACTGGGTGTGGAGGCGTCTGTTTGTCTATCTGTCTCTCTGTCTGTCTGATTACTGGGTCTATCTGTCTGTACACATCTCACTCCCTTCACTTACATTTTTTAACATTTTAGTCATTTAGCAGACGCTCTTATCCAGAGCGACTTACAGTTAGTGAGTGCATACATTTTTCACACTTCTCCCCTGTCTTACCTGTTCTGTCTTGCCACCCTTCAGGATGCCCAGGTTAGTCCCAGACTGGGTGTGGGTGTTGTCTGTCTGTCTGTCTGTCAGTCTGCCTGCCTGTCTTCTGAGATTCTTCTGAGATTCATAATTTTGCTTAATCCACAAAATTGTAGCTAAGGTTACTAACGCCAGATAGCGCTAGTCAGCTGTACTTGCACCAAAATCAGGTAAATCTTATCCTAAAAGCGTGTTCTCCATCTGATAATGTATTAGTGTACTCGTTTTCTCATGCCTTTGTCTTGTCCTGCAGTAGACATAGGATATAGCCTAGTGAGTAGCTCATGCTCCATGCTAAAACATTATTTTGCAAATATTCGAATCAGCAAAAAGTGATTCGAACCAGAATAAACTAAATCAGCCCTAGTCTGTCTGTCTGTCTGTCTGTCTGTCTGTCTGTCTGTCTGTCTGTCTGTCTGTCTGTCTGTCTGTCTGTCTGTCTGTCTGTCTGTCTGTCTGTCTGTCTGTCTGTCTGTCTGTCTGTCTGTCTGTCTGTCTGTCTGTCTCCCTTCATTCCCTTCACTTTTCCCCTCTCTTACCTGTCCCCCACCTCCCCACCCCTCAGGCTGCTGCCATGGCGACCTCGGCGGGCATGGTGTCAGTGGGCGACGCGGTGGAGGGGGGTGATGCAACGGAGGGCGGTGGTCACCTATCACGTAGCTCCTCTGAGGCGTCCAAGCTCAGCTCCAAGAGCGCCAAGGATCGACGCAACCGCAAGAAGAAGTCACGTCAGAAAGAGGAGGAGAAGAAAGAGAAGGGAGAGAAAGGCGAGAAGGTCGACCATGAGAAGCAGGTTAAGTCCGAGTCGGACGATGGCAGCAGGAGGAGCATCTTCCATTTCCCAGGCAACCGGCTGGGACGCAAGACGTCCATCATGAACCAGGTAAAAACTAGCACGAGACAATAAAGATAAACTATTTTCTTCATTTAATTCATTTTCAGAGACTTTCATGAATAAAGAGACATACAGTGCCTATCATAGGTATTCACCACCCTTGGATTTCTTCACATTTGACTGTGGGATTAAATTTTTATTAATTGTCATTTTTTGTCAATTATCTACACAAAATACACTATAATGTCAAAGTGGAAGAACATTTCTATATATTTTTATTTATGTAAAATAAAACACTATGTAAAATATTCACCCCCCTGAGTCAATGTTAGAAGCAATTTTGACAGCGATTACAGCTGTGAGTCTTATTATTTTCAAAATTCTTCAAACTCTGTCAAATTAGTTGTTGAGTGGCGTAGTTACAGCCATTTTCAAGTCTTGCCATAGATTTTCAAGCAGATTTAAGTCAAAACTGTAACTACGCCACCCAGGAACATTCACTGTCCTCTTGGTATGCAACTCCATTGTAGATTTGGTCTTGTGTTTTAGGTTATTTTCCTGTTGAAAGGTGAATGTGTCTCTCAGTGTCTAGTGGAAAGCAGACTAACCAAGTTTTCCCTCTAGGAGTTTGCCTGTGGTTAGCTCCATTCTCTTTATTTCTATCCAGAAAAACTCCCCAGTCCTTGCGGATGACAAGCATGCCCATAACATGATGCAGCCACCACCATGCTTGAAAATAGTTGTGTTGTGTTTGATTTACCCCAAACATAACACTTTGTATTCAGGAGAAAAGGTTAATTCATTTTTTGCAGTATTACTTTAGTGCCTTGTTGCAAACAGGATGCCTGTTTTGGAATATTTTAATTCTATACAGGCTTCCTTGTTTTCACTCTGTCATTTAGTTTAGTATTGTGGAGTAACTACAATGTTGTTGATATATCCTCAGTTTTCTGCCATCACAGCCATTAAACTCTGTAGAGTCGATGTCCGCTCCAATCTAATTAGCATAATAAAAACATCCCCATAAAAATCTGTCAGAGATATGTCTCAATCCACCGCATCTGCCGATGTTGCACTTCCGCATCTGCGGTGAAAGGTGGCAGAGCTAGAGCGGTGTTTGTCAGACCATGAGATATCCCGAAAATCCCGAGCAACTTCTGTATGTAGCGTCCGAACAGTGGAAAGGTGAAACTCTCACGAACACGTACATGTCGGTTGTTTTGCTCTAGGACACCCACAGGCCTCACAGAACTCGTCTGAAGGGGCCCCAGTACCAGTTGAAAAAATTAATGGAAGTACACTACATGACCAAAAGTATGTGTACACCTGCTCGTCGAACATCTTATTCCAAAATCCTGTGCATTAATATGGAGTTGGTCCCCCCTTTGCTGATATAACAGCCTCCACTCTTCTGGGAATACTTTCCACTAGATGTTAGAACATTGCTGCTGGGACTTGCTTCCATTCAGCCACAAGAGCATTAGTGAGGTCAGGCACTGATGTTGGGAGATTAGGCCTGGCTCGCAGTCGGCGTTCCAATTCATCCCAAAGGTGTTCGATGTGGTTGAGGTTAGGGTTAAGTTCTTCCACAACGATCTCGACAAACCATTTCTGTATGGACCACGCTTTGTGGACTTGGGGCATTGTCATGCTGAAACAGTAAAGGGCCTTCCCCAAACTGTTGCCACAAAGTTGGAAGCACAGAATCATCTAGAATGTAATTGTATGCTGTAGCATTAAGATTTCAGTCATTGATGTTATAGGGCTGTTTTGCTTCCACTGGTCCTGGGGCACTTGTTAATGTCAATGGCATCATGAACTCTACCAAGTACCAGGACATTTTAGCCAAAAACCTGGTTGCCTCTGCCAGGAGGCTGAAACTTTGCCACAAGTATATCTTCCAGCAAGACAATGACCCCAAGCACACATCAAAATCCACAAATAATGGTTGTTTGACCACAAAATCAACATTTTGCAATGGCCATCTCAGTCTCCGGATTTGAACCTGTGGTTTGAATTGAAGAGGGCAGTCCATAAGCGCAGACCGAAGGATATCAAGGATCTGGAAAGATTCTGTATGGAGCAATGGTCTAACATCCCTACCAATGTGTTCTCCAATCTCATAAAACATTATAGAAAAGGCTCAGTGCCTTTATTTATTTTTTTAGTCATTTAGCAGACACTCTTATCCAGAGCAACTTACAGTTAGTGAGTGCATACATTATTATTATTTTTTATTTTTTCATACTGGCCCCCCCTGTGGGAATTGAACCCACAACCCTGGCGTTGCAAACACCATGCTCTACCAACTAAGCTACATCCCTGCCAGCCATTCCCTCCCCTACCCTGGACAACAGAATTGTGCGCCACCCCATGGGTCTCCCGGTCGCGGCCGGCTACGACAGAGCCTGGATTCAAACCAGGATCTCTAGTGGCACAGCTAGCACTGCGATGCAGTGCCTTAGTCCACTGTGCCACTCGGGAGACTTATCGTCATAAGGGGAGGGTTCACAAAGTATTGAAAACAGGGATGCCAAACATTTTGACACCTATCATTTTGAGATACAAAATGATTATTTGTTAAACAAAATCTTTCTTTAAACAATTGTATTAGTATAAAATAATACAAAATGTAACGTTTTTTGAGCATACAATATACAGTAGCTCATTATTTGTATTATTTATTTTGTATCGTCTTTTTTTCTCATCTTTATCAAGGTTGCCAATCATTTTGGAGGTGACTGAATATAACAAAATGTTCTTTTCACTTTGATATTCTGGAGTATTTTGTGTAGATCAATGACAAAAAGAATCACAGTTAAATCCATTTAAATCCCACAAAAAATCAAAGGGGGGTGAATACTTATAATATGCACTGTAAAATATTTGAAATTGTTATAATGTATGTAGGCCAGATTCACTATTCAACATTTATTGGCTAGTTGTATACATTGTTCAGTAGTATTACAAGTTTCCTCATGTCATTTTGTACAACATAGTGTGGCGGCTGATAAATGGTTAACTTTTTGATAAAAACACCAAAGTTGGTACAGAGGTAGATGTATGTACTCTGAAAAGATTTGGTTATCGAACCACCCCAGATTTGGCCACTGGTGGGCGTGGCATCCATTTATTTAAATGGCTGCCGACGGGAACACTATTTTACAATTCAGAAGGACTGCTTTGAGGTAAAGTCACCAAATTTGTCACAGAGCTAGATGTATGGACCCTGACAAGATTGTGATATGGAGCCACCACTGATTTGATCCCTGGGAGCCGAGGCAGCCATCTTACTTAATGGCTGCTGACTGTAGCACTATTTTACAGTTCAGAATAACTTTTTTGAGAGAAACATACCAAATGTTGCACAAAGGTAGATTTAGGTACCCTGAAAATATTTAGATATGGAGCAACCACAGAATTGGCCCCTGGGGGCTGTGGCAGCCATCTTACTAGCTGAAGACTACCACTATGTTACAAACCTTTAATCTACAAAATGTCCTGGCATATACTTCTTTGACTTTTAAAAGTCACGGCTCATACTTCTTGGCCTGGATCACCTGAAAACCAAAAGGTTTAACAGTTACACATAGTATAATACAATGAGTACAGAGAGAAACACAGCAGCCTTGTAGGCCACATTTGTAGGGAAAAAAGTAAACATTTCTGGGACTGCTTCTAGCGGAGGTGAGTTAGAATGCTCTATTGACGAGGTAGCTCTACCTGGACATAAAACCAGCCTCGGCCCAAGACTGAATATTATTTTGGTCTAATGGGTTGGGTTCCATGAGCATTTAAACAAATGGTTACTGAAGCTACTTTTTAATGCCCATATCATGATCAAATACAGACTAACTACAGCTGTACCTGGGAAAAATATCCCAGCCATTGAGTTTGAGTAGTTCACAATTGCTGTGGACAATTCTCTCAAGCTGTGCTTCAGTAAGACAAGAACTGTACCTGGCACAGCTAATGTTTTACTTTCAACACATTTTGGTGGTGACTGTTGGTTTGAGGCAGCATCAGGTAAAGGTGTACTTACCTCTCCCTAAGGGACCTCCAAAATCATCATTAAATAAACATTATATTGGGTCAGTGGAGCCAATCATAGAAACAGACAGAATATTTAAAAAAGAGATTAGCACAACATCAAAAGCCCTGGAACTAAGCAGCTAACTTAATATTTGCTACTAAGCAAAGGGATCTCATGACTTTGGACCTGACCTGACACCCTGTATTAAAGTATATCAACCAACAGCTGTGTGTTACAAAAATGTATACAGTATAACATCTAGCCTATTTGGGGTGAAAGGCATTTTGTAGGATTGCTGCCATGGCCCCCAGGGGCCAGATCTGTGGTGGCTCCATGTCTTAGTCTTTAAAATAGTCCTTAGTTGTAAAATATTGGTACTGCTAGGCAGTCATTTTCAAAGATGGCTGCCACAGCCCCCTGGGTCCAAATCTGTGGTGGCTCCATATCTAAATGTTTTCGGGATACATAAATGAACACTCTGCAAAATCTGACGCGTTTATCTAAAAAAAGGACTTTAAAACTGTAACATTTTAATACAGATAATGGCAATTTTTTAAGATGCCTGTGGTGGCTCCATATCTAAATCTACCTTTAATCTACAGTACCTTTGGGTCAAATTTGGTTTATTTATCTGGAAATAGTTATTCTGACCTACAAAATAGTGTTACAGTCGGCAGCCATGGGTCCATAAATCTAGCTTTGTGACAAATTTGGTGCCTTTACCTCAAAGCATTCCTTCTGAATTGTAAAATACTGTTAATGTCGGCGGCTATTTTAACAAATGGCTGCCAAGCCCCCAGGGGCCAAATCTGTGGTGGCTCCGTATCTAAATATTCTCAGGGTACAGTGCATTCGGAAAGTATTCAGACCCCTTGACTTTTTCCACATTTTGTTACGTTACAGCCTTATTCTAAAATTGATTAAATTAATAGTTTTCCTCATCAATCTTCACACAATACCCCATAATGACAAAGCAAAAACTGTTTTTTAGAAATTTTTACAAGTGTATTACAAA